AGACCATCGCTAGTAGGTTGGAGGCCATCGCTAGTAGGTTGGAGGCCATCGCTAGCAGGTTGGAGACCATCACTAGTAGGTTGGAGACCATCACTAGTAGGTTGGAGGCCATCGCTAGTATATACTGTACTCAAAATGGGTTGATACATAGTTTTAAAAAGAAACTGCGACCTGAGACGCTCCTAAAGTGCTGCAACCAAAGTTGACCTACTACCAAGTGCTACATAGTACATCATAGTACTATATACCGCCTACCTAGTAGATGCACCTTCTTCTACTTGCTGCCGCTGTTGTGGCCGGTGCTGCTGATTTGATTCATTTCTGCAAGCTCATTTGTTGGCTTGTTTGGCAGAGAGTCTTTTAAACTCTTTTCAAGGACTATCAATGGTAAGAAATCAACTCGCTCTCAACTTGCTTCTCCACTCCAATCTGAGGTCGAAGAAGTCCAAGGCCGGCCAGGGCGTAGAGCGGTCACTGACAGAGGATCCATATATCATATATTTTACAAACAGGGAGTCCGAAGTGAAAGTGCGACCCGCTGGAAGACTGCGGATAGCCATCCGTGCCCTTTCTAACAACGCATTATCTACTAGTAGCTTCTTGTTACTAATAGTGATGCCAGGAGCTACTAGTAGTGTCCTTGTTACTAGTAGCGATGCCCTTTGTTACTAGTAGCTCCCCGTGCCATGGTATACCCCTTCGGGACCAAGGTTCAAGAGAACTTTCCAGCAACAGTGGCGCCCTATGTAACGACATTGAGATTAGATCGGGTACCATCAATCAGATATTTGCCGAAAAGGAAGAGATATCATGCCATATGAGATTCCCAGACCTGGCAAATGATAGGGGACCACCCCTTCTTCCAAATTCATACGCACTGCTTGAGAGAGTTTGACACTCACATTGTATCACATTGTCATTTTCCCGCTTTATGACGTGCCAGGAAGGAGTGGCTGGTTTGACCATGCACAGAGTCGCAAAACAAGAAAAACAATCTCGAGCCTTTGATTTCCAACCTGGTGAGGTTAACAGGGGCCGGGGTAGGTGTTCTTACAAGCAGGGTGGTCATGTCCATGGGGGGGCCCTGGGGCCCGGGGCCCTTCTGTCAGGAGGATATGGAACCAATTTGGCAGGCGAGGTGGAGGGTCAGATTCGGTCAGATGTCATTTGAAGCCTTGTCAGTTGGGATGTCCACCTTCTTTTAACACCTTCGTCCCCCACCTTTTGCATGAGATGGGCAGGAAGCTCTGAGACTCTCCGTAGAGTGTACTTCTAGAGGGCTCTGGAGCTGATGCATCCGACAAATGTCCTGTCCATGTCAGGGAAGGGATGCGAGACCCCCCTTCCCATGTTGAGTTCTTGGTCACTCTCTTAACTACTCTTAACTGCTCTTAAGGGATATGACCACTGAACATTTCCTCTTAACTCACTCGTAACAGCTCTTAACCAGAGTATACTCTGTTGCTCACCGAATCATGAATGCCGCAATGATCCATGCACATGTGGGGGTGACCTCAAGGTAGTGATAAGGAAGAGGGTCTCCACCATTCCTGTACTCTGGGGGTACCCTCCTAAGGGCAGTTAAGATGAAGGGGGTCTCATCATGTTTGCTGCTATTTACAGTGGATTGAGGTAAGACCCCCTTCCTCAACGTCCGCTTCATCATTCAAAGAGGGTGGTAAGGTAAAGAAAACACATGACGCTCAAGAAGTGAAATCTGTCATTTGCGGTCTCAGTTTTGAATCATTGAAGAATGCCACAATATTTGAGGGATGGGAGACGTCCAATGGATAACGGATATATAGCCTTATGATGAAGGGGGTCTCCTCGAAGGGGGGTCTCCCATCCCTTCTATGACCATGGTTTGTATGCAACATATCACTAATGTCCATGGACATCATGGTTGAACAATGTTCAACACATTTCAAGCAGCTGTTCAGCACACCCCAAGCCATGACACCTGGATGTCGAGATTTTGCTGCCAAGCAGCATCATACCCATGGAAGTTTACTGTATGCATTGCATTGGATGACGACTTTCCCGACCAGGAGGAGAAAAGAGATCCGGAGCAGATCCAGCAAGATCTCATGAAGCAGGTGCCTTGAAGCGGTGCGGGCCAATCTGCCAGAGCAAGCTTTTGTCAACTTCGCCCTTTCTTATCTTTCTTTTCTAACTGAAGGCAACAGCTTTCGTACTGTAGCTTCTTTGACACATGTCTATTTTTTGGTGTTTCTTGCAGGTTCTATTCTTGTGCGTCTTGCGTGTGTGGCCTCACGACACACAAAGCCTGGACTGTTCGAGTTACTGTAGTAAGTTAGGAGTTAGGACTGTAAATTAACTGGATCTCAATCATGGCCTGGGCATGCCTGGGCTATGCATTTGTTTGACTTCATGAACATGAACATAGCTTGACCTCTGCTTAACTTGAAAAGGGGCATCAAACACCCGAATTGAGAAAGGTCATTTGATCTTAGTCTTTTTGCTCTCGTTGTACCAGCACATTTTTGCACAGCGATCTCCTTTTACTTTGGGTTTTTGCAGTTTTGCCTGTGAGGATTGCATTTGAAGCCTCACCGGATCACCTGATCATCCACTGGTGTGATTCCCGTGAACCAGAGTTCTATGTTCTATGGATACTGCTCAGAAGACTTTCTTAGCTGTCCAGGCTGAGCTGAGCAAAGAGCTGAATGAACTCAAGAACGATCAATACAAAAAGCGCGAGCGGCCCAAGGCGGGACTGAGCTCTTGACCTTGCTTCGGAGAAGACGATTTGTGTGCTTACCGATGCTTATCCACCTTTTGTTGCTACCCACTCCAAGTGCTTCAAACAATCACTGAACCATTGTGGCTGCAAACAATCTGCTGCTACTGTAACTTTGCTTTCTCCACTATTGTAGTCACAGTTGTTGCATGAAGCATCAAGCTGACATATTCCTGTCATATCCTGTCATTTCCTTCAGCTGGCCGAAGCATTTTGGTCGGAAGTGTTCGTTACACGCTAATTCCCATATTCCCACTACATAGCTGGGCCCAAAGCTCAAAAAACGATGAATTTTCATCATATGTGGATGCGGGCAACATGGTTTGTCAGGTTAAACTGTTAAACCATCGCTATATAGATGAGATATGTCACCGATATGTCTTGAGTCTTTATGTTTTGGATGCCACCTCCAATCTCCGATGAGGATGCCTGGGAAGTGGCTATGGAAGCTTTCAGCAAGGCAAACAAGTGGTCCACTGGATTGACAGATCATTGCAAAATGTATGTGCTGCTTCCATGGGAAGGCTTCTTTAAGAAGGTGAATGGTTTGGGCTATAAGGTTGGACAGTTGGACATGTTGAATGCCAATGATGCCACAGACTCAACACCAGTGCGGCGAAGAAGTTTCTTTCGATTCAGATGTATCCCCAAACATGGAACAACCATGAACAACCTACGGGGATGCCACTCACTGCCAGGGATCTGATCAATCCAGAAGCTCCAAGAAGCCCAGACCGACAGTTGCTGAGGTGGGGGCTCAATGCTTCAGTGTTTCAAAATAATGCCGTGGAGCTGAATTCGATTCCCAATGGGCCCAGACCATGTTTGGTAGACAAGCATGTTGGGCATCCATAAATTCCTCCAATTTGATCCCGTAGCTGCCAAACAGGCTCCATCGGCGCTGGACATGAAGCTGGAGAAAGCTCACAAGCAGCTGCAGAAAGAGACTATGGAGCAGCTCGAGAAAGCCCGCAAGGCTGGGCAGAGCGTGTTTCGAAGGCACGAATGAAGTCTTGGGCCTGGTGGTGATACGATTACAATATAGGAGCAAGGACGCTACTAGGGGCTCCTGGCCTCGCTACTAGGGGAAAGGACGCTACTAGGGGCTCCTGGCCTCGCTACTAGGAGCAAGGACGCTACTAGGGGCTCCTGGCCTCGCTACTAGGGGCAAGGACGCTACTAGGGGCTCCTGGCCTCGCTACTAGGGGCAAGGACGCTACTAGAACCTCCTGGCCTCGCTACTAGGACCAAGGACGCTACTAGGGGCTCCTGGCCTCGCTACTAGGGGCAAGGACGCTATACTAGAACCTCCTGGCCTCGCTGCTAGGAGCAAGGACGCTACTAGGGGCTCCTGGCCTCGCTACTAGGGGCAAGGACGCTACTATAGGGGCTCCTGGCCTCGCTACTAGGAGCAAGGACGCTACTAGGGGCTCCTGGCCTCGCTACTAGGGGCAAGGACGCTACTAGGGCCTCCTGGCCTCGCTACTAGGAGCAAGGACGCTACTGGGGGCTCCTGGCCTCGCTACTAGGGACAAGGACGCTACTAGGGGCTCCTGGCCTCGCTACTAGGGGCAAGGACGCTACTAGGGGCTCCTGGCCTCGCTACTAGGCGCAAGGACGCTACTAGGGGCTCCTGGCCTCGCTACTAGGAGCATGCTACTAGGGGCTCCTGGCACTAGGGGCAAGGACGCTACTAGGGGCGCCTGGCTTCTACTAGGGGCAAGGACGCTACTAGGGGCTCCTGGCCTCGCTACTAGGAGCAAGGACGCTACTAGGGGCTCCTGGCCTCGCTACTAGGGACAAGGACGCTACTAGGGGCTCCTGGCCTCCCTAGTAGGGGCAAGGGCTACTAGGGGCTCCTGGCCTCGCTACTAGGGGCAAGGATGCTACTAGGGGCTCCTGGCCTCGCTACTAGGGGCAAGGACGCTATACTAGGCTCCTGGCCTCGCTACTAGGGGCAAGGGCGCTACTAGGGGCTCCTGGCCTCGCTACTAGGGGCAAGGATGCTGGCGTCGTGAAGGGGCAAGGACGCTACTAGGGGCTCCTGGCCTCGCTGCTGGGGGCAAGGACGCTACTAGGGGCTCCTGGCCTCGCTACTAGGGGCAAGGACGCTACTCGCTACTAGGGGCAAGGGCGCTACTAGGGGCTCCTGGCCTCCCTACTAGGAGCAAGGACGCTACTAGGGGCCCCTAGGGGCTCCTGACCTTGCTACTAGGAGCAAGGACGCTACTAGGGGCTCCTGGCCTCGCTACTAGGAGCAAGGACGCTACTAGGGGCTCCTGGCCTCCCTACTAGGAGCAAGGACGCTACTAGGGGCTCCTGGCCTCGCTACTAGGAGCAAGGACGCTACTATGGGCTCCTGGCCGGGGCAAGGACGCTACTAGGGGCGCGTGGCCTCGTTACTGGGAGCAAGGACGCTACTAGGGGCTCACTAGGAGCACGGACGCTACTAGGGGCTCCTGGCCTCGCTACTAGGGGGGCAAGGACCTCGCTACTAGGAGCAAGGACGCTACTAGGGGCCTCGCTACTAGCGGCAAGGACGCTACTAGGGGCCTCGTTATAGGAGGAAGGACGCTACTAGGGGCTCCTGGCCTCGCTACTAGGAGCAATGACGGTACTATGATAGTTACAAATTGTTGCAATGCATGATGGGAGTTCAATTAGCCCCAGAGCCATTCAGCAGCAAGTGGCAGCGTGTTTGCTGTATTTTTCGTTGTAGTATCTCCGCGTCATCCCAAGCTGAGGTCTCCACTACTGGAATTGAACGTGAATCCACCACAAGACGAAGGGGTCATTGATGCAGCAGTGTGTTTGTGCCATGAATAGAGCGAATGCCAATGCTGCCAAGGCTACTTTGCGCTTTCGGTATACTGATTCACTGACCGGGCTGTGACCTGACGGTATCACGAAATTCTTCATTCATGCAAAGAATACCGTACAAACCCAGCAACCTTGGTAGACCTTGGGGAATGGGTCTCGGATCTGAAGAATTGCAGCAGCCGGGTTGAATATTTCGCTTGAACATACCACCACCATCCATGACCAGCGCCAAAATTTGGCGTCTACATGTCTATCGTCGATCGTCTTCCCAAACGCGAACAGGAGAGGGAAAAGGAGAAGGCTGAGAAGGCCAAAGCGGAGGCTGAGAAGCCCAAGACCCTCATGGGGCTCAGCGCCGCCAAGGCAGACTGAGTTCGGACGGACTCAGGATTGACTGATTGAGTTTGACTGATTGTTCCATTGTATAATATTGTATAATGATGTATTCATGAAAGGTGAGCAAAGGCGAGCAGGTGACACCGGATCTAACAGCTTGAAGATGCAAGTCTGGAAGCTCGAAGATGTTCCGTCCCAAGCATGATGCTAGCTGCTAGAGGAAGACAGCGCTCAAAAAGCCCGATCAAAAAATATAGATAAACGTAAACTTTTAAGGCTGTAGATGTGTTTTTAAGTCTTCGTTTAGAAGCGGGCCCCCAGCAGAATATGGTGATACAGCAAGGCAGCGCGAGATTGGCGCTAGGTTGGCGCTAGGTTTCTTCATAACAGGATAGCAAGCAGGAAAAAAAAAGAAACAAGCAGAGAGCAGGAAACATAAGAAGCAAGACAAGAAAAAAGAAAAGCCGAGAAGAAGAAGAATAACAATAATAATGCACAACAAGAAGAAGACAAGCAAGCAGGAAAACTATTAATTTGACAGGATAAAGAAATCGACGGAGATTTTTGCGCTAGGCTGGCGCTAGATCCGCGCTAGCACCGCGCTAGACGACGGTCCATTTCTTGACCATTTGCCCATCCAACATCCAAATCTTTTGAGTCAGCTCTTGCGTCCTTCCTAATTATGTCGTTCTGAAGATTTCTGAGAACAAAAAGTGGAAACGACTGCAGGAGTCCAGCAGCACCAGCAGCAACAGCTCCAGCCAATTTGGGAAAAAACATTTTGGAAACCAACCATATATAATTGAAGTAGAATAGTTGTATAAGTTCCTCACTTACCATTACGTGGTTTGGCTGATTTGCTTGCATACATTATTGAACCATATTGAACCGATGGTTGAAAATCCACACGATTTGGTGAATGCAGGATTCGTTTATTTAAGAACGTGTTCAAAAAACTTCGAAGTGTTTCCAGTCGTACCGTTGCTTGCCCCTGCCGGCAAGTTGCCGGTTCCGAAAAGAGCCACGGTGTCAGTCAATGCCCGTTGTATGGATGCAAGAAAACTAACAAACGCTGCGGTTCAACTGGTTACGTGGAGGCAAAGAAGACCGAGGAGAAGCCTGAGAAGCCTGAGAAACCAGCTGAGAAGCCGAGCGTACCTTCGCTTAAAGTAACAAGACGTATGTGTATAACAAGACATGTGTGTCATGTGTGTGGCGATGAGCGAATATAGAGTCTCAAGACTTTCTTACAGTGACAGGAAAACCTACAGGACACCCTCTAATGACTAATGAATATGAGCGTTTCGTCTATATACATTTAGATCCTCCTGTGACTAGAACAACTGTGATACGGTATGAAATGGTGTGTTGAGAAGGGAGATCTCAGATCCTATAGAACCCTCAAGGGACGCTCTCAGACCATGTGCACTTGCATTTTTTCATATTTTTTCTACGTATCACAAGTTGTTCGACCGACTTAGACCCGACAATCCCAAGTTGGATGAAATTGGAGCGTAAATTTCGACTCATGGCAGCTATAAAATGTCAGTCTCTTTTGGCAGGGGACAGGAGTCACTGTTCAAGCCCATCCATGCCACAGTTGGATTTGCGAACCCTGCCTGCAAGGTGAAGGACAGAGGCAAGGCAAGGGTAGAGAAGACGCCTGAGAAGGCTCGGTTGCAAAAAGGTTATTGAACGTCACAGTCGCAATCGCACCATCATCCACACGGCGCAAGTACTGAATGGCTTCCTACTCGTAGCATTTGTTTCCGATTCCAGGAGAGAGCCAAAGAGCCTGAGAAAGGTGAGAAGGCTGGCATAGCTTCACTGTTGCTTGGTAAGGCAAACCGCAATAGTAGGACTCAGAAAAATACAGAACTTCTAAAATATGAAGAGTCCCAACATCATTTGCTCGGGACTGAAGTAGGAGTGGCGAGCGATCTGTCCTGTGAGTTGCCTGCTGTCCCCATGTTCGTTGCGAGCATCTATGACATTCTATGACCATTCATCACCAAAATCGATATGTATCGGAAATTGATAGACTGCGCCGGAGACAGGTCTTGAAAGTCGAAAAGAGTGAGAAAGTAGAGAAGGCGGATCTAGCACATTGGTATCCCACACATAGAACATACAACACATTTGAACGTATTTGAACACTTCTCCAATTATGAAAGTCAAAATGCAATGTGTTGTCAATATTGTCCACTACAAATGTGGGAGCCCGACATTGACGGATTCCCGGGCAGGATGTCAAAGTTAGTTAAGAGTCAAGAGCATCATGTTCAATCCAGCCCAGACATTGTCAATGACATCCAATTATCAACCAATGCCTCTATATTGCAGTTCAATGCCTGAATGCACTGAATGCACTGCCAATCATTGACGTGGATACCAATAGCACTTGAATTTGCATTCTTCAGATGGTGCTACCTGCATTTTGTTGCTCACAAGGTGAGTGTTTACTGCTTGGATTCTTAGATGCTCTTGGTAGAGATATGATTCAGTGGCCCTGGATGGCCCTAGGCCTAGCGATTTCTGTCGATTTCTGGGTGCTTAGCACAGTTTGGACCACGCGACCCTGTACCATCGAAGGCTTGCATCGCCACGTTCACCCGCAGGCGGAGGCGAAGGTTGAAAAGAAGGACAAGGCCCCATATATTATAATATATCGAGACACACATTGGTTTCTAATGTGCAACAAAGCCAACATCATCCAGTTCCAGCTCTGTCATGTGGGGGATTGCCTGCAACATATACAGTATATTTAAAGTTTATTGAGCCGCTTGTCCTGGCCTTGACCACCATGCCACTTTGTGAATAAGAGTTTTGAACTTGGAACAATCCCTGGCACAGGAGCTTATCCTAAACAACCAGTGAGGACACATCATGTTGCAAGCAAACCATGCTCCTGAGATCTTGTCCGGAGATCTTAATTTCTTGCCCCTCCAGAATCCAGAAGAGGAGTTTGAGGAGTTTGAAAGCGTGTGTTCCCAGTAGAAGTGGGCGACCTCCCACTTACTTCAAGGAAAGCTACCAAGGTCCATCTAGTCTTGTGATGTTTTATTCCCACAATTGACTCAGACTCTCACGTGTGTTTTTTTGTTGCATTGTTCCTCATCAGAGGTCTTCGTACTGCCAGTAAATGTTTGCTCATAGTGGTTGACAATGAACGTCTTTACAGGATGGAACAGTTGAAACACAAAGAACATGCAGGAGAAGAAGTTGAAGAAAGACAAGAAGGTGGAGTCAGTCCGGTTTGATCAAGCTACGCTGATATTCTCCATGGAACAAGACACAGCGTGGTGCCTCGAGTCTTCAGCATTACTTGTGGTCCAAAATACTGATTCCCAGGAAGCATGGGGTCATGGGCCCTTAAATATGTTCTAAGATTTTCCAAGAATATTATTGGGAAGAGGACATGGAATAGATTGGAATTGCGCCAACATTTGCTAGGCCATTCTTTACGAAACTCTTATTTCGGCGCGGCCTTTGCCTTCCTTCCCAGAGGTGTGTGTTAAACCACCAGGAGAAGAAGCACAAGAAAGATAAGAAGCACAAGAAACACAAAAAGCACAAGAACCACTCTGATGAGAAGAAGCCTCTTGGTAGCAGAGAGAAGCTTTTGACAAACGAGTGCCTTGGAGGACGAGATCGCCATCTTATAGATCTGAGTAGGTCTGTGTTTTTCTAGATAAGTGATATATATATATTACTACATATATTATAGAATAAATATATATATATATATATTTCTTTTTAATATTGACATTAAATTTGAGCTCGGAGCTCGAGTTGCAGCTTTCAAGGTCGAAGCTCGAAGGCGGTGAAGGGGACACCTGGGACTTTGATTGATGTTTGGACTCTTGAACCACTTGGGACACTGACCAGAACAAGTGCAGATGCACTTTTGTGATGCAGGGGAACATGTCCATGTCTCACAATTGAGAGACTGCAAAACTCTCAATCTGGGTGATAGGTACCGAGAAATGGTCTCGTTTGTTCACGCAGAACTTGTAAATTCTTTGGAAATCCAGGAGTTAGGATGCCATGGGACGGTGTTTTATCTATGATTCCAAAATCTTCTAGGTTGGAAGAACACCCCAGGTTTGGAAGTCTTTTCATTTTTGCAGTTGCATGACCTCTTGCAGTGATCCAAAGAGTTTCTGGCTCGCTTGGTCACTACTCAATTGACCTGAAGATGAACTACCAGCGGTTTTAGGATGCGTCTACTAGTCTACGAAAGAGTTTCGAGAAAAGCAGGAAAGAGCATTCAGCCGACAAGAGCCTTGATTTATCCAGATCCACATCGAACAATGAGCTTCATAATACCATGGCGGCTGCTCATACCACCTGGTTCTGTTGAGAGTGTGATTGGAAGCGACGACGGGCATGCACTCCAGCAGAGGACTGGAGCCAAAGTATTTGTCTCTACAAGTGAGGAGGCTCCTGTCACACTGAGCGACAAAATTGTAAAAATTGAGGGGGCTGTGACAGAAAAAGAAGCGGCCCTGGCGCATATTGTTGGAGAGCTGTTTGAATTTCAGGGTACTCCAGACGATGAGGACGGTCTTTGTGTACTGGTGATGCCTTCCTGTGCGATTGGCGCTGTGATTGGCACCAAGGGATCAAAGATCAGCGAAATCATGGCGGAATCAGGCTGTGAGATCGATGTAGGCAGAGAGTGCATCATCGGCATGCCCGACAACCCAATGGTGCTGCGGGGTCGACCCCAGCAGATCGTCCGTGGGGCTCTTCTTGCCAACACAGTTCTTCAAGACCTGGCAGAGAAAGGCCGTGTCCAGCCAGACGATTTTCGCTACATCCCTGGGCGGCAAAGTGCACCGCGCCCAGTGCGGGGGACGTTTTCATCTGCTCCTGCAGCCAGGCTGATCGTGGAAAAGGAGTTCGCTGGTTTTCTGATTGGCAAGGGTGGAGAGAAGATCAAACGCATACGTGACCAAACAGGTGCTACGCTTCAGTTCCGAAGTTCAGCAGAAGAGGTGACGCTGACCCTTGCTCCAGAGCAGCGTGTGCTTGACATCCGCGGTAGCTCTCAAGAGCGAGATCTAGCTGTGAAGGCATGTTTTGTGGAGATGGATGCTGCCTCGATGCACAGCACCAGACTTCTACTGCCACTGGCAGTTCCAGAGATTCCACTTGAAGAAGCAGTGGTTGCTGCTGGCGCCTCAGTGGGGCAGATTCAGGATGAGAGCATTGCAAGTCCGGAGAGTAGTGAAAGAGTCGTCCGCTTGGATGGAGATTCTTCTGCTCGTCTGGCAGCAGTGCTGGCTCTTCTGGCCAAAGCTGATGTCCATGCTCCAGTGTCCAATTCCCAAGCTCCCAAACCCGTTTCCCCGGTCAGGCCTGCTCCGGTGACTGAGCAGATCCATCCAAGTCGGGGGGATTCCCCGGTCAGGCCTGCTCGAGTGACAGAACAGGTCCAGCCAAGTCAGGGGAACGGGCTGGAGCGTTCAGCTTCCATCCAACCAAGAATGGAGAAGAAACTAGAGCCAGAATCTGGGAAGGTGTTTACCTTCCCGGAGTTCCAGAAAGCTTTTGCCACTGAGTATTCTGAGAAAGACATTCTTGATTACTGGCGAGACGCTTGCAAACCAGTTCCGGAAACTGAGAAAGAAGCTATGCCAGCGCCCAAGTCGCCAGAAATTGATAAAAGAGGCCAGTTCCACCAAGAGCGAGCTCAAGCAGATGACAAGTCGGACCAGCCAAAAGGGCCAGCTCAAACAGCGCTGACTGCGCCTCCAGGCTTGGAAAGTCTACGCACCGAGAACCAGAAGAAGCCTCACTTTGGCATGTCGCGAGCTTTGGCAGACTCGCCCCCATCTGAACTGCATGTATTGCTTCCGGCGAAATCTATCCGACCGCTCATAAGCAATGGACACCTTGCAGAAATAGCTGTTGGATGCAATGTACAGCTTGACGTTTGCTCTGAAGTATCTCCGGGGCAAGTGGAAGTAATCTTAAATGGAACATGTGCAGCAATTGCTATGGCCACTTTAGCGCTTCAAATGCGTATTTACTTTGTATCTCATGTTTGAGTGCACGGTGTCTATAGTGAGAGATGTCAAGCCTTCGGTGCAAAAGAGATCAGAAGAGTGTGTTGTAGTGAGCATTGGCAGTCGCCACAGTGAAGGACAAGTTGCTCATGCTTTTTCTTGATAAGCATTTTTTGCAAATGACTGCTCTGCCTACTTTGCCAGGAGGGAAGAAGGCTCCAAGGACTCGGCTTAGTCCGTCCGTCTAGCGTACTGTAATTTTTGATGATATGGTCTGGTGTCTTGAATTCTTAAACAAAAGACCTACTTCATTCCACCTCTCTTCCCGTGCATCAACCTAATGGTGGCGGAACAGCAAAGGGTTTGTCTTTGGATCTTCAGCATCCATTGCCGTGCACAGAAGCTCCGAGTGGCAAGCTGGGATGTTTCATGACATCGGCCGAAGAGTTTCCATGGATCACTCTGGACAATTTCGACCTGGAAAGCTATTCTGAGTCAGATGGAATTTCTAAGGTCTATGACATGTCAAGTCAGCCATGCCAGGACTTCCATTCCCGCAAGCCGAATTCGTGAGCTGCTGAGGCGTGCGGATTTGGAATGATCAGACCCCCTGTGGCTCATGATTTTCGGTAGTTGTGATCATGCGGATTCTCGAAATGACACCAATTTCATCCGAAGCGGCTACTAGGCTAGGGGTTAGACCCCAATAGGGGACCATTTTTCCTACGGAAACACAGACTTCTGAGAAGTGACCTGATGCACCGAGAAGTGACCTGATGAGGTCCGAGGCCTATTGAAGGTGGGAAAGGATGTTAACCTCTTGTGCCTTTGCCCTGGCACAAGCCTGGGTACAGTACTCCTGGTCTTTGCCAGGTCTAAGGTGATGGGCAAAGACAAGGTGCAAATTGGGGTGCATGGGCTATGGGTTGACCAGTTAGATTTGTAGGGTTCTCAGGTTGACCATGGTTGACCTGTGTGACCTGCATGAAGAGGTTCTCAATTGCTTGCCAGGGCTTTGGCTTTTGTGTTGTACCAGCAAACGCAGCTGGATGACGTGGTGATCAGAAGACCTTGACCAAGAGATTTATGCTCCGAGACCCAGCCAAGATGATCAAGTCTCAGAGTAGCAGGGAACTTCCGAGGACTGGTGTTTTGTTTGAAGGTGTCCAACTCATCAAAAGGCGTCCCAGTGGCATCCAGTGGGTTTGTGTTTTGGTTTTGCAAGCTTGTGAAACAGGCTGGCAAACTTGTAGGAGGAAACTTTGTAGGAGGCACGCATGGTGACGCCCATGAAAACAAACTCGATCAGAGGTGCCGGTACCAGACATTCTTTGTAATTGGATGAAGTATGATGAAGTGTTGTTAGGCAGAGTCAGCGACTGCATGCGAATCTTTTAGAGAGTCGAAGCAAACCTGCAACCTCGATGTTGGACAGGGCTCCTCTCTTTTCCAACAGCAGGCGGAATGGCACAATTTTGCTTCTGTGGCTTTTTGCGTACTGTGCATTTCCAGTTTGGGTATGTTTGGGTTCTTATCATTGTCAGTGTCGAACCCACACCCAAATTCCCTTTGCATGCTTTGGCAAGATTGGGGTCTTGGTTGACACAAGTTGCAATCAACGAAAGGCTGAAGACAATTGTGCATGAAGTAATTACGTTTGCTCGACTCACTGTTTCTTTTTGATTCAAATACTGTACATTGTTCTCATTTTGGCTAGACTTTGCGCTGCCCTGACCTGGGAAGTGTTGGAGTAACCTGCAACTTCGGGATGCTAGGTGCAGGAAGATGCGAAGCTTGGAGGCGAGTGGGGCTGGGAGTCAGAGCGATGGGACGCAATTGGTGCAGGCAAGAACATGGATCTGGGTTTCAGATATTCTCTGCGTTCTCGATCGCTTTGGCCAAGCACTTGTTTCGGGCCATTAATTCTCAACAATCAAAGCCTGTGTTTGACATGTTACCTATTCAATGCTATTCAAAATTCCTCGGGGCACAGACAGTCAGAAGCTCTGATGCTACTAGCTGTCAAGGCTTTTGAGAAGCCTCAACCACATCCTTGAAGGGTTGTTTTTTATTTTTATTTTTTCTATGTTGGGTTCATGCTCAGTGTCACTTTGTGACACAGCGACTCTCAGGTTCACTTATAGGGCGAACTGAAAGGGTCGAACGGAGTCGAACGTCAAGAAAATTCACAAACGTCGAAAAGAGATCAACCAGTGCCTATACTGTCTATACAAATTGAGGGCAATGCCTTTTTTTAAAGGGGACCTTACCAGGCCTTACCCCCGTTATGTAGCAATGTAGGCTCTAATGAGGGCTCTTTGTGAGACGGTTCACAGAGTCGATACGGTCACGCTCTCAACTCATTTGGGCGATCCTAACTGCTCAGGCCAGCCCAATGGGACAACGAAGCCTCAGGCACCTGATGACGCTGGGAGACCCACTTGTTTGGTTTTTGGCTCAAGGAAAATCATTGCAAAGAATGCAGAAGTGACCAGGTTGACTCGACTCTGATGTATATTTTATGGGTTCAATCGATTTCAAAAGGGCGAAAGTTCTTACGTAGTGTAAAGTGTAAAGACCCATCCATTGAATTCCGGGGGCGGAGTTTCCACCGTGAGCTTAATCACAGTTCCATAAACCTAACAGGTGCCTTACTAGTAGTAACAAGAAGCTACTAGGAACAGGTGCATCGC